CCCCCCCTTGCTTCCTCTCTCTCTCCCCCCTCTCGTCCTCTTCCTTCTCTCTCTCTCTCCCCCCCTTCGTTCCTCTCTCTCTCCCCCCTTCGTTCTCTCTCTCCCCCCCATTCGTTCCTCTCTCTCCCCCCCTTCGTTTCCTCTCCACCCCACGTTCGCTCCATCTCTCTCCCCCCCTTCGTTCCCTCTCTCTCTCTCTCCCCCATTCGTTCCTCTCTCTCTCTCCCCCCTTCGTTCCCTCTCTCCCCCCCTTCTGCTCCTCTCTCTCCCCTCGGTACACAGCACCGTCAGACGTTAGTGTGGAGTAGTTGCATTAGGTAACGCGAGATACGGCTGATACTTGCGCATTAGTTTCTGTCATGGATCAGTATCAACAGTCCTGCCAGTAACGTTTCTATATGATCAATACTACTTTAGTTATAGCCTGATATATGATAGCTAACTTTACAATGTTGTGATGTGACCGACGTTAGCTAACATGAACTGTAGCTAACGCCGGTCACTCACCAAGACAGCTGCCCTGTTCTCCACTGGTTCTCCTCACACCACAGCTCCATTTCTCTCCGATGGCCGTTATTCCTTCTAATCCTTGGCTGCTCCTGGGGCCTGTACTACGAAGCCGGATTTTCCTAACCTGGATATGTTGGAGTTAGCCGGTTGGCCCAATCCAAAACATACGCGCTCTCGCTAAGCTGTACTACGACGCTGGTTATCAAGTGGATCGCTCAAGCCAGCCGTGTCCTATCTAGTTAGGTGCGCGTTCACATGAAAGGGGTGGTATTTGGAGCATTCGACCAATCTCAAACATGGACAAGTGTACTGACAGCGCAGCGTCATACTTCCTGAATGAAAAGTGAACTTTAATATTAGACAATTATGAAGACGTTAAACTTTAAACATCCATGACTTAAACACTTTATCCAGGATAAAAGCCACAAAGCTGCACCTGCAAGGTGAATGCAGCTGGTAAAAGAAAAAGCGTTTGAATGCGTACATTAACAGGTTTATGATATCACTGCCCCGTCTAAGACACGAGTGGATCTGACTTTAATTAGGAGAATTTGACTCGAGTGTTTCGTCAACTTAATGTGTTGCTTAAAATAATACTTCTGCATACAGTATGTGACACTGTGAGTGTTGCACGGCTAGATACGGCTCAGCTGACTCAGATAAGGAAATATATGATACATTATGATGTGATATGATATGAATGATAATGGGACACATCGCCGTCTGCACTCACAGTGCAGCGGACTGTACTTAATGTTACTCTGATCCGGTTACTTATGTTGTGGCAGATATTTAAGTAAGCTTTCTTAACGCTAATGTTATAATAGTCAGATTGCTCTGAAGATGGGAGGGGATATTCTATTAATGTTCACGTTCACACAGTCAGTTGATTTTTGCCGGCCGTCTTTCCTGCAACGGCAGTTTTTCTGTATTTCCTCTATCCTGTTATATGACTTGATAGCTTTAAACTCCGCACACGAAGCTCTGATTGGTCAGCAGGCGGTGCTTTCACTGAGTTGATCTCTTAGCCTGCAACCAAACCTCCTCCCGAGGAGGTTAGCCGCTCAGCATAAGTTACCATGGAGATCTAGCCTGCTAAAAAGAGAACCAGCGTCGTAGGACCGGAAAGCCTGAGTTTTCCCTGAAGTCAGCCGGCTAAGCGACAATCCGGCTTCGTAGTACAGGCCTCTGGTCTCTTGGACGCCTAGCAGGCTCATAATTATAAGGTTGTGGTCCGTCATATGCATTCGAATATACATTTCAACCTCTTCTGTGTCAAAAGTAGCATTGTGATCCATGTTTATTAATACGTTAGACCGGCCGCTCTCCCTCATGTGACGTCACACGCGGGTGGTCTTCTTTTATGCGGAAGTAAAAATGTCTTACAGAAACCACGCCAGATGTCACTGTAGTGTTTATTTATGTATATTGTTTTGAAAATCTAGTGTATACATCATTTTCCTACACATTTATTCACTGGGGTCTCTAACCTGCAAGTTGCTCTTTAAGGAAAAATCAAACTGCATAATTCACTCTGAACCTCCTAAAAACCTCAAATTCATCTTATATTCTCCATCATGTGTTTTAAATAAATGACATTATAAACACATGAATACAATAATTAAATATTTTTATTAAAACTATCAAACACTGACAAATATGTTCAGTTTTAGCTGTTTCTCACATTTGTATGAAGCTACATGATGCTCATACTGACTGAGGAGTTTAAACTGAAGATGCTTTGGATGTATGGCTCCACTATTTCTGAAATAAATATTCTCTGTCTATTTTTTATCACATTTCTTCTAAATTCATCCCGACATATTTGTCATATTTGTAAAGTGTGTGATCTTGAGTTGAATCAGTTTCAGTGGGTTTGTATTAGTCTGGCTGCACATCATGAGTTAGTGTAGATGGAGCAGAGGTTCAGATGTGAAGTCTCCACTTTTTATTGAAGGTGAAGCACGTTGTCTTTCATATTAATGAGAGCTCTTTTCTCTTTCTGGATCTTACAGTTTTTAACCTGTCAGGATGTCCACTTTATAAACTCCTACATTCTCTACTTCTCCAGCTAAAAACAGATTATTGAACCTTGAATATTTTAAGCTGAAACTTTGTTTTTCTAAACTTACATCATGTTTTCTTTATTCAGTCTGAGAGGCTGCAGTTTGTCAGAGATCAGCTGTTCTGCTCTGATCTCAGCTCTGAAGTCCAACCCATCACATCTGAGAGCTCTGAACCTGAGTCTCAACGCTCTGCAGGATTCAGGAGTGGAGCTGCTGAGAGATCTTCTGGAGAGTCCAGACTGCAGACTGGAGGCTCTCAGGTCAGTTCTCCATCTTTAACTTCTGTGCTGAGATGAATATGTGAGAGTTGTGTTGACTCTGAGCTGCAGACATCAGGCTGATATGATCCTGATCCTCACGGAGTATCTTGATGCTAAAGTCTGTTTTCTTCTTCTGTGGTTTCTTTCCCTGACAGTGGCAGAGCAATGTTCAGCTTTAAATGTAAACATTACAATAAGAATTATACTCTGCATAATTCACACTGAACCTCCATCAAGCTTCATTTTACTACATTATATAAAAGACAAAGGAGTACAATTAATAAGTATTTCCAATCAAACACAAAACATATATTCAGTATTTGCTTCTTCCAACATTTTTATGAAGCTAAAAGATGCTTATACTGACTGAATAGTTTAAACTAACCATGTGATCATGTGTTCTTTATTCAGACTGAGAGGCTGCAGGTTGTCAGAGATCAGCTGTTCTGCTCTGGCCTCAGCTCTGAAGTCCAACCCCTCCTACCTGAGAGATCTGGACCTGAGAGAGAACAAGCTGCAGGATTCAGGAGTGGAGCTGCTGAGAGATCTTCTGGAGAGTCCAGACTTCAGACTGGAGACTCTCACGTCAGTAAGGGGTCGACTCTCTGCTGGTTCAGCAGTATTGTATTAAACACAGGGAGGTGGAGGTGTTCCTCTCACTGGGGAATCTCTCCAGGTCCACCTTCCAGGCGTAGCCTAGCTTAGCACAACAAATCATGGATGTTACCATTTGTCTGCAGTTTCTCCTTTTGTTCATCTTGTGTTTCTTTACTTTCATTATTATCAAGCAATATAATACAAGCTGACAATGCAACGCCACATTTCAGTCAGGAGCAACTCATTAACAGACAAATGGGATGTTACAGTTAAAAAGGAAGTCTGTTTGTTTTTCTATGTTCCTGGACTAATGCCTAGTGAATTCTCTAATGCAGCTGAGAGCTGTGCGCAGTCAGTCGTAGTGTTTGCAGAGAAGATATGATGTGATGTAAAGCATTGGATCAGTCAGGACTCTGAAGCTGACTAACTCAAAGAACTAACTATTATTTTAACTTGATCTCAAACTGTTGGATTGTGTTCATCCCTGCAGGATCAATGACGAGCCAATCAGAGCCAAGATACAGAAGAACTGTGAGTACTGAACCATACCCTCCATTCATCAAGATATTGTACAATACATCTGATCTTAAAAGGTATTTATAGTACAATAATTATTATAGTTTTATTATTATTGTTCTCTGTCACCTCTTCTCTCCATCAGGTGACTCCGATGTGGAACAGGAAGTGAAGACAGACAGAAAGGTGAGAGAGGAGCAGTTGAGAGTTGAAGCTAGAGCTTAACTTGATTTCTAATAAAATAAATAACTTTGTTTGTTCCAGGCTCCTGAATCCTTCTCACCTGAACACACAACTGAGTCTTCATACAGGTAATCCTATAACATGACCACATATTATTTTAAACACATTGAAAATATATATTTATTTAATTGTGTTTAATTTCAAGTCTTTCACCTTGAGGTACTGCATCCAATCTCTTTCCAGCAGACATCAATAAGATAATGCCTCTGTGTGCAGGATTGTTTTCTTGTACCAGTCTAGATCCTCGCTGGACTAGACATTTTGTTAATTTAATGAAAATGTGTTTACACACATTCTGATGCATGTGGACACATCTTCAGTGATGCTCCTGTAATCATCAGGTGTTTCAGATCTTTCAACAAACCCTCCTCCAGGTCAGACTCCAGCTGGATGAACACCTGTCAGTCAGAACACAGGCCAGTGAAGGCTTGTTGTAGTAACTTGTCTCTTGTGTGTCTACAGGTTCAGGTGTCCTGGTCCAGGTATGTTCCAGTGTGCTTCGACTGGCCTGGTGTTCGTCATGGCTCAGAAGGCGGAGCTTCTGTACAGGGCGGCCACTTGGGATGAGAGCCTCCTCCAATCAGCTGGCAAGCAGGCAGCAGGGCCGCTGTTCGATGTGAAGAGTTCTGATGAAGCTGCCGTCTGCCAGCTCCACCTGCCACACAGCGAGATAGAGGATGGTAAAGACATCTGCAGTGTTAACAAATACACTTATATAATGTTTAGCACCTTATACCATCCACTACTGTTCAAAAGTTAACTAGTTTAACAAAGACAATAAGACTGTTAACCACCAGAACTGTTGAAGCAAAATCTGTTAAACACCTGAACAGTTGAAACAACATTCCTAATATTCATCTGGCTGCTACTTAAACACATATTTAAAAATTATTTATCTATTTACCTTTATATCCTATTTCAATAACTTGCATATAGACTCTTATTGCACTATTTCACTATTTCACTTTTTTAAAACTATTTTTCTTTTTGTATTAGTATTTACTATTTACTTGCACTATATTTTTCTGTGTATCTGTGTTTTGTGTTGCTCTGTTGGAGAAGCCTGTGACACAAGATTTTCATTGGCACAACTACACTGTAGCTATGTACGTATGACTAAATAGAGAACCTTGAACCTTGATAAGATAATTCAGACACCAAATCTGTTCTTTACATTCAAAATAGTTGAGTCTCCAAAAGAAGTAGAATGAAATGATTAAAACATCCATTTAGTGGATGTGTTTCATGACATCATTATTGAAGCATACGATGCAATGCAGCTCTAAATACTGAGTTGGATTTTCTTTGGGTCCTCTGCAGTCTCCTCACTGGATATTAAAGACATTTAAACTGTGACCTGTCAGTCCACAGCATGTTTAGCTGCTAACAGTGCTAACTCAACGCTAACTCTCACTCTCAGCTAGCAGTTTGATTAATTATGACTTTGTTATCCATCTCTTGCTCTTTCTGCTCTTTACATTGTCAGTCTGGCTGAAGCATGTACAAAACAAAACAACAGACAACAACATTTATAAGTTAGACTTTCTACGCCCTGAAAGCTTTAGAGAACTCTTCACACATCTAGAGAATCACTCAGACATGAGACCGGACACAGTCAAGCTGCTCTGGCTGCAGATTACAAACATTTCAGCAGTCTTGTAAATTAGACAATAATTTCGCACGCTCACATCCAGAAAGATCACAGGGGGACGGAACAATAATTATACATTACTAATAAAAGGTGAAGGATATAAACTGGTACATCCCAGTGAGGCTCCGAAGTGAATGACATTAGATGAACATTAGCTCTGAGCTAAAGTGGTGTGACATTGAAGATGATGAAGCTGTGTTAGCAGCAATGCAACAGATGACCAGCTCTTTGCTCCACAGCGCTGCTCCTGGACGGCCTGTTGTCTGTCGTCCACATCACTGATGAAGGCCTGAGCATCTTGGAGCCGCTGGAGGTCACACACACTCACGTGGTGGTGAAGGTGCTTCACCTCTCTCTCTTTGGCCTCATCATCGATAAATTGAGAAGGCTTCTAAAGTTGCGAATAAAGGGCCAAATTCTGCTGCTCCTACGACCCCCGGGCCGAGAGGAACAAATACTGGATGTATTTCTGCTGCAGAACAACGTCCTTGAGGAGGAGGTAATGTGCTCACCATCAGCCTAAATGCTTGTTTTAAACCACAGCTGTTTCCACAGAGAAGTTGTGGCCCCAGGCTCCCTACTGAATAGAATAGAATTGGAGGGATGAAACGTTGGGTTACGTATTGTAACCCTTGTTATATTAGCACAGGCGGAGCCCTCTACTGGACCCTATGGGTACTACCCTCTATGCAAGCATTCACCTACTGAGATTTCTATAGACGTAGCCGGCCTTGGGGCGGGCCTACCTGAATGCGCACGCATCACACCGTATAAAAGGAGGCCTCGCCTCCTGACTATCATCCTACACCTCTCTTCAGCGAGCGATATAGGACAGACAGTGCCTGAGTAGAGGGCTCCGCCTGTGCTAATATAACAAGGGTTACAATACGTAACCCAACGTTATATCTCTCACAGGCTCCGCCCTCTACTGGACTCTATGGGTACAGTGGGTGGAGCCCTGATGTATACGCGCACTGTCGTCCAACAACATCATTCCACCCTACTGCCCCTGACCGGCTTTTCTGGTCAGCAGCTGCTGCCCCACATTCTCCTTTAACCCGGTTGTGACCGAGGAGAAATCTGGGCTGCGGCTGACAGAGCACACCCTGCTGCGCCTACCTCGCAGAAAGTGTGCTCAAAAAACAGTGCCGGGGGATCCCCCCCCAGCCCATAGACGGATGGGGAGAGCCCATGCAGATTTAATAATGAATTATTAATTATTTACGTGGAGTGCCACACTCTACTGGTTATCAAACTCGATACCTTAATACTTTAAAATACGTAAAAATAAACGTTAAGAAGTTGTGTCCCCAAGCTCCCTACTGAGAGAGATGATATGAGAACACGATTAGTCTCATCATCTGAGAATCTGAGTTTACTCTGTGAACATAGGCTGATTTACTTCACACACAAAACACATAAAACGGTTCTTTATAAATGAAATAATCATGAACTGCTCAGAATATATAAACTACAGAATAACATAAGTATTAAATCAATAATGTGATGATGAATGTATGAATGGCAGGTTACATCATTAACATCGACAGTAAATCAGATGGTTAGCAAATACTGAAAGGCTCAGTTGAAACACTCAACAACTGAAAGATTGAAGGGAAGTATTTTGGGAGTCCAACCCTAATCGAAGCCTTAAAGGTCCCCTATTATACTGTTCTTCATCAATACTTATAGGTCTCAGATATAGACAAAACATGTCTCTGAAGTGTATCGTGCGCACAAGATACTTCATGAGCCTTTTAGGGGCTCCGTAAACAACCCTAATAAATATATAAAAAAATGTGTTGGAGAATTGGAATCTCATCCAAAAATATCTAACCTATACACTTTCATTAATCTACTCACATATGTCCTCATGATGTTATTCTTAATTGATTGTAATTCTTATATCTCTGTAGAGCAGGTCTGTCAACATGTTGTTTTAAATTGATCAAAATGTCCTGTTTCTGAAGGTTGTTAAAAAACACAGACGTGCTGTGAACATCCCAATCTCCTCCGACTGTGAGCTGGACATTGATCACAGTTACAGTGTGCACTGTGAACCTGAGGGCTTCTTCATTCAGCCTCAGGTGAGTCACTGATACTCCTCTAAAGAAACACAGTGATCATTAACACACATTTATCTGCATGTGGATTCACAATCAGGAAAGATCCAGATAAACATTTAACTTCTGCTTCTGGTTTCCAGAGTAAAAGATTTGATTCCAGGTTTGGACCAAACTACCACCCGACATTTCAAGTTTCCCTGACGACGAGCACAGAGAGAGTGGTTTTGAAGGTCAAGGACCAAGGTGGAAACGTAGTCTGGGATTATCGCGTGTCACTGGAAGGTAAAGACTCCACCTGAGCTCAGACCCAGTGATAGACTGGATAACTCTAAAGCTCCATCTCATAGCATTCTCTATTAAGGCTCCATGGCAGCGCATCATTACTACATTAAACACACAACCTGTTATATTCTAAAACCATAATAAAAACTAGTATTGTGCGGTGGTGAAACAGCGTGGCATTATGGGAGTTGTAGTCTTCAGCTTCTAATGCTTAAGTGGATACGCCGCCATTACAGGAGACCGTGATGAACGTACTGTTACCTCGATTAAAATTACACATCTCTCTGAACCATTTGCGATAATGTTTGTACACAACTCAACAAAATATAAATAATACAGGTGTAGGAGTTTTTATACATTTTAATGAGGAAATGTTACATATTATAACTTTAAGTGAACAGAAATCCCCCTCTGGGAATGTCGAATTACTTACATTTTTAAGAGATCTGTTTAATACGGAGCCCCTAAAGCAGGGGTGTCAAACTCAAGGCCCGGGGGCCAAATCCGGCCCGCGACTTCATTTTATGTGGCCCCGCAAGAGCTTGCAAAGAATATAATACGTTTATTATACGGTTACATGCCACTTTACAGAAGCAGGTTGCCCATAAAATACATGTCCCACACAATGCAGGATTTGCTATTTACTATTCATTCATGAAGTATGACGCTGCGCTGTCAGCACGCTTCTCCATGTTTGTGATTGGTCAAATGTTGCTAACCCTGTCTCTTTCACGTGAACGCGCTCTCAGCCGGACAGAGAAACCCTGGTTGATTTACTGAGTTGATAACCAGCTTCGTAGGACCGCTTAGCGAGATCGCGTTTGTTAGCGTTAGTTAAGCCGGGTAACTCAAACATATCCAGGGTCTGTTGAACTGGCTTCGTCGTACAGGGCACTGGAGGCAGTAACGTGTAACTCAGCAGAATCTGAGAAGAGCAGCCCCAGCTGCAAAGAGCTGTGCCTTTTACTGTTTACTTCACTGTGTTTCCCTTCATTAGAACAGCTGAATAGAGATCGAGGCTGCTACGTTTAAACTAATAAAATGGCGTAACGAGAAAGTATATCGTGCGCACAAATTAATAAAGCGTGGCCTCGTTTTATTTAAATTGAGGCCACGAATTACATCTTGTGCGCACAAGTTAATAAAGCGTGGCCTCGTTTTATTTATTTTTCTCTCTATGAACCCTCCAGGGCTCCGTAGTTTAATGTGATTGTTGGTTAACAAAAGTGTTTTCCCTGTTTATCTTCCAGATCCAAGGCATGAATTGTCCCAGAGAAATGTCCCAGCAGTGATCAGCGTCCCAGCAGAGATCATAGTCCAAGCAGAGAGCAGAGTCTCAGCAGTGAGCAGAGTCCCAGCAGAGAGCAGAGACCCAGCAGAGAGCAGAGTCCCAGCAGAGAGCAGAGTCCCAGCAGAGAGCAGAGTCCCAGCAGAGAGCAGAGTCCCAGCAGAGAGCAGAGTCCCAGCAGTGAGCAGAGTCCCAGCAGAGAGCAGAGACCCAGCAGAGAGCAGAGACCCAGCAGAGAGCAGAGTCCCAGCAGTGAGCAGAGTCCCAGCAGAGAGCAGCGTCCTAGCAGTCGAGTGGCTGTTCTCAGTTCGGGCAGAGTTCATTCAAAGAGTGACTCCAACTCTCCTGAAGAACCTTCTGGATAAACTCTTTCAGTCTGGAGTCATCAATGATTCTGAAATGACGTCGGCCAGAGCCAAACCCCAAATTGACGGAGCACGAGAGATGGTGGACGCGGTGCGAAGAAAAGGAGCTGCAGCCAGCAGGGTTCTGATCAATGCTCTCCGTGAGCTGGACCCGTATCTTTACGAAGACCTCAACTTGAGCTGAGGAAAAACCTTGTGGAGTGTGTGTGACAGTTGAAGTCCTAGTCCTCTGTTTTGTTACCTGTACATGTTTCCACTTGTCCTTGAAGGTAACACAGATTCTGAGCGAAGGCCACTTTCCTTCTCTCTTTTCTCCTGGACTCCCTCCTGAGAGCATCTACCCGTATCGGCCTTCCTTTGGTATTAGCTTGAGTTTTTTTCAAGTACATGTTTACTTTATTACATACAATACTTTAATTTACCAGCATCCATTGCATCCTTTCACATTTTTGTCAGGCATAGGAGCCGGGTCATGACAAAAATAAGGGCTTGTTCTTATTTTACCAATTGGTACTGACTTCTGGGTAAGATTTGGGATTTTGGGGCATTTGGTACCAAGGCATGCGATTTGGAGTTTTATTTGTTTTGTATTATCAAACTGTAAAAACCTGTACCTGTTTGTGCTGGTGAATGTAAATATAATATACTTAGGTAGTGAATTAAACCCAGTGGTGTTCAGTAACTAAGTACATTTACTCAAGCACTGTACTTAAGTACAATTCTGAAATACTTGTACTTTACTTGAGTATCTCAATATTTTGCTACTTTGTACTTCTACCCAGTGGCGGCTGGCCCATAGGGGGCGATAGGGCGCCGCCCTCCCTAAACCCAAGCCCCCAGGAAGTGCTCCGGACTCTCAAAATGGGTTGTGTCCAAACGGCGGTACTGCAACTTCCGTATCAGTCCGTGACGTCACCCAACCCAAAAATACTTTTTCCCATTGACTAACATGGGGAAAGAGACGTCTGTAAATCGGTGGATATTTTTTTTTAACTCAATAAAATACCCAGTATGAACTATTTTATAGCCTTGATTAGAATAATTCGGTCCTTAAAGTTATAAAATGCACTAAAAGCCGAATCTAGATTTATTTTCTCTCTCCATTCATTCTAGTGAGCCGAGAGTGGGAGCTCGGGGGGCGGGGCTTAAGGGGCGGGGCCGTTTCTCAATGAGTAAAGCTGCTCCAGAGCCACTATTTCGAGCATACTACGTCATCGAGTGCCGCCGAAGGACTGTTCCAATGTCCAGCATACTTGGAATTCTACCGAGCCCGGCGTACTTCGTAGGGAGAAATTTCGAGGCTCCACATGTGTAGACTCTGCGGTCTTAAAATCCCCGCAATGCTTTGCGCACGGACCAATTTCCCCAAATCTGTGGCGGAAAATGTAAGGCGGGGCCTCTCATATGACGCACACTTGCTCGCCTGTTCCACTCTTTGTTTTCCGAATGCCAGGAAGTATTCTTGCCTCGCTTCTGAAGCAAGTGACTCGGAAGACATGTGCTACCAAGCAAGCGTACTCGACATTGAGAAACACCCACAGGTTCTTCTGCTCTGACAGCCAGGCATGATGGGTAATCTGTGACGTTTCACTCTCTCAAAAGTTGGGCCATTTTGCCTTCATGCGCCAATGAGCAGCTCTCATAGGAAAGAACGAGACCCCGCCTCCGACGCTGTTTCCAGTTCTTATTATACATCCATGCCTAAACCACACACACAAGGAAATGCTTTTCTATTTTTAAACCTTTTGTAATAGCTTTTCTTATACTGTGGCTGCTTCTCAATGTCAAGGAAGGATCCTTCAGAGCCTCCAAATAAATAATTAAAATGAACCTTGTTTGGACTTTGCCTCTTTTGTTGATATTTGTGGTTTATGCTACAATGTGCACCAATATGTGTAAAAGAGGTTTGCAGACATCAAGTATGATATATGAATACACATTGTATTATTGATTGGTGATGGTGATTTTATGATTTTCTTATGGCTGCTTATCCTCCAGGACTTTTTCAAGGCTGCAAACAGAAGGAGACGTGTTATGTTAGTTTAGTGGTTCTCTCCTGGAGAGATGATCCTTTTACAAAATACAGTTACTCAAGTACATCTTCGATCTTCACAAATCAGTTATGAGTCTTCAAACAAATCGCGCTCAATTTAAGGCGGGGCCTCTCATATGACGCACACCTGCACACCTGCTAGCCTGTTCCATTCTTCGTTCTCCGAATGCTAGGAAGGATTCTTGCCTATAGCCTCTGAAGGACCTGACTCGGAAGGACATGTCCTACGAAGGAAGCGTCCTCGACTTTGAGAAACAGCCCCTGTATGAGTAAGACTGAAGCAAAGCCCTATAAAGAGACCACCACGAGACGATCAAGCATTTTGGACTTCCGCTGTTGCAACTCTTTCAGTTCTAGGGCTTTGGTACAACTTACTGCTTATGAGAAAGAAACAGATATCCAGGCTCCTGTCGCCATCTGGTGGTGAAGAGAAGAGCAAAGAGGGGCAAACACCTGTCTGCAAGGTTTCTATTTCATATTCAGAAGCAAATCATTGTACTTTAGTCGTGTTAACAAATACAACACAACTCAAATATGCACTCACTGCAGTTCTTATAGAATAAATATGGATTTAAAGTCTTGTTTCTTATGTATATTGTTTCCAAAGAACAGGGGTATATCATAACTATGCAATATGTCACGAGTAATTATGGATAAGGAAATACTTTTTTAATTACAGTGTATATTTAGTCAAATATATTTAGCCACCAATGCGTTTTTTGCTCATTGCAGAGAGCAGAATTAAAATCCTTCAGCGTAGAAATGTACCCAAGTACAGAAATAAAAACAAAGCAAGTCCTGGTGACCTGAAGCTCATCAAACCAAAAGGTACAAACTGGTTCATCAACACTTTGACCAAGATAGAGAAACTATGTTTTAATCTTGTATTCATGAGTTTATTTGATCAACTTGGAAAACATGATGCATTTATATACAAAACTAAAAGAACAACACACGTTCTTAAATGATTGGTTTCTTTATTATTAGGTCCACCATTTTGTACACAACAGGAAAGCATGGATTTGATCAACAATATATAGACATATTTAAAGTGGGGAATCAGAAGAGCTCATCGTCATCTCGTTATACATCCAAGGACCTGAGGAGAGAGGAGAAGGAGACATGTTCAGATGAGAGGAAGTCAATATCCTTCATGAGCTGCTGCACATTTTAACACACATTAACTTCCTAAATTCAGAATCAAGTTTATCACCTGAGGCCTGTACTACGAAGCTGGATTTTCGCTTAGCCGGCTAAATTCAGGGAAATCTCGGGCTTTCCGGTCCTACGACGCTGGTTCTCTTTTTAGCAGGCTAGATTTCCATGGTAACTTATGCTGAGCGGCAAACCTGCTCCGGAGCAGGGGGGTATACTACGAATCTAGTTCAACATATCCTGGATATGTTTTGAGTTATCCGGCTGACTAAATCCAAAAAAAAAAAACGCTCTCGCTAAACTGTCCTACGACGCTGGCTATCACCTCGACCGCAAGCCGTGTCCTATCTAGTTAGGTGCGCGTTCACATAAAAGGGGTGGTATTTGGAGCATTCGACCAATCACAAACATGGACAAGCCGTGTACTGACAGCGCAGCGCGTCATATATTTCCTGAATGAAAAGTCAACTAATATTAGACAAATATGAAGACGTTAAACTTTAAACATCCATGACTTAAACACTTTATCCAGGATAAAAGCCACATAGTTGCAGCTGCAAGGTGAATACAGCTGGTAAAAGAAAAAGTGTTTGAATACGTTCATTAACAGTTTTATGATATCACTGCTGCCCCGTCCAAGACACGAGTGGATCTGACTTTAATTACATTTGACTCGAGTGTCAACTTAATGTGTTGCTTAAAATAATACTTCTGCATACAGTATGTGACACTGTGAGTGTTGCACGCCAGATACGGCTCAAGAAGCTGACTCAGATAAGGAAATATATGATACATTATGATGTGATATCATGTGATATGAATGATAATGGGGTACGTCTGCACTTACAGTGCCGCGGACTGTAGGTTACTTATGTTGTGGCAGATATTTAAGTAAGCTTTCTTAACGCTAATGTTATAATAGTCAGATTGCTCTGAAGATGGGAGGGGATATTCTATTCATTTTCACGTTCACACAGTCAGTTGATTTTGGCCGGCTGTCTTTCCTGCAACGGCAGTTTAAACTGTATTTCCTTTCTCCTCCTGTCATATGAATTGATCGCTTTAAACTCCGCACACTGAGCTCTGATTGGTCAGCAGGCAGTGCTTTTATCCTGGAACCTATCCTGCTCCGGAGGATAGCCGTTCAGAATAAGTTATCTAGCCCGCTAAAAAGTGAACCAGCTTCGTAGGACCGGAAACCCCTGAAGTTAGCTTGCTAAACGAAAATCTTGATTCGTAGTATAGCCCCCAGGTTAGGTGGCAGGCTAAGAGATCAACTCAGTGAAAGCACCGCCTGCTGACCAATCAGAGCTCCGTGTGCGGAGTTTAAAGCGATCAATTCATATTAGAGGATAGAGGAAATACAGAAAAACTGCCGTTGCAGGAAAGACGGCCGGCAAAAATCAACTGACTGTGTGAACGTGAAAATTTATAGAATATCCCCTCCCATCTTCAGAGCAATCTGACTATTATAACATTAGCGTTAAGAAAGGTTACTTAAATATCTGCCACGACATAAGTAACCGGATCAGAGTAACATTAAGTACAGTCCGCGGCACTGTGAGTGCAGACGTAGATGTGTCCCATTATCATTCATATCATATCACATCATAATGTATCATATATTTCCTTATTTGAGTCAGCTTCTTGAGCCGTATCTGGCCGTGCAACACTCACAGTGTCACATACTGTATGCAGAAGTATTATTTTAAGCAACACATTAAGTTGACGAAACACTCGAGTCAAATTCTCCTAATTAAAGTCAGATCGTGTCTTAGACGGGGCAGTGATTTCATAAACCTGTTAATGTACGCATTCAAACACTTTTTCTTTTACCAGCTGTATTCACCTTGCAGGTGCAGCTATGTGGCTTTTATCCTGGGTAAAGTGTTTAAGTCATGGATGTTTAAAGTTTAACTTCTTCATATTTGACTAATATTAAAGTTCACTTTTCATTCAGGAAGTATGACGCTGCGCTGTCAGTACGCTTCTCCATGTTTGTGATTGGTCGAATACTCCAGATACCACCCCTTTCATGTGAACGCGCACCTAACTAGATAGGACACGGCTGGCTTGAGCGATCCACTTGATAACCAGCGTCGTAGTACAGTTTAGCGAGAGCGCGTATGTTTTGGCTTAGGCCAACCGGCTAACTCAAACATATCCAGGTTAAATTGAACCAGCTTCGTAGTACAGGCCTCTGGTACACACAGAGGGATTAGCTCTGGTGTATTGTGGTGCAAACATAAACAACTTCAGACCATAAGTTGCAAAAAGAGGTCAAAAATATACATTTAAATACAAAAGAACCTAAAAAACATAAAAACTAAAAGACTTGGAACACTGAATATATGTCAGACTACTGTGTGGTATATTTTAAGATAAGATCAGATAAGAAGAACTTTATTGATCCCAATGTGGGAAATGTTTGCGTTGCAGCAGCATGAAAAGACAAGGCATTGAACATTAGAGAAATGAAAAGACTAGATATATACTTTAATTTAGCCAGGACTGGATTATTAAATATGAGATTGAATATAAATGTGAAATGTACAGTGTGAGTTTGAGTCCAGTTATCAAGAGAAGGCTGTGCAGACGTTCAAACTCTAAGGTTTTATTGTCATATGCACAAAGCTACAGTGTAGACATGGCAATGAAATTCTTCTGACCTGAGCTCCTCCAACAATGCAACATATATAATGAAGTAGTGGCTATTTCCTTAACGATGAATCAAGTATTCAGATAATTGTCTGTATTTTGACTTGACTTCTCCCAACACACATTGCGTTCAGATATCTGTCCTGTGGTGCTGTGTACCTATTATTACCGTATACCGGTCCTTCTCTTCTGTTGTGAGACTGTAGAAAGAAAAGCTCCTTTACCTGTCTTTGAAGACACGCTTTATTTTTCTCAGGAGTGCAAAACCCTTTTCTTTTGGATAATTCGTTTTCTCCTGTTTTTACGTTAGAGTAGGTAAGAAGCCTGTACGTTTATTTTTCTCATTCGTTAGGTAAGAGTTTTGTGTTAAAAGGTTTGTTTGTTTTGTGGTTTTGTTACTCCTCTTTGTAATCATTTTGGTAATTACATTTACCAAACGACATTCTCTGTCTCGGCCTCCATGTTCTTGGGAGTGGGAAAAGTGGGGACAGTGCAACTTTATGCTGCGCCTAGGTTCCCCTAGACCTGGGCGTAACATAATTAAACTGGGATCGATTGTCTACTATCGATCCCAGTTTCTCAAATTCTCTCAAAATGTGGATTTCTCAGACTAAAACCCAAAGATATTCACTGTGATCTGATATAACACCCAGTGAACAGCACGTTTTTTAGATTTTAGAGACTTCAAATAGCAGTTTCCTTAACGATGAATCAATTATCAAGATGTTTGTCGGTATTTTTTTGCCTAGCGTCGATCCCAGTTTCTCAACTTCTCTTGAAATGTGGATTTCTAAAAAAGAAAAATGAATGAAATTCTTCTGACCTGAGCTCCTCCAACAATGCAACATATACAATAACATACAAAATAGAGCAAGAAGTCTATATACATGTAAATAGAATATGTACAAGAACAGAATATGAAATTAAATAATGTACATTAAGACCAAATTAAATACGGTTTATTGCGGTGATAACTATTTATATAAATAAGTAGATTGCAAGATGACAGATGAATGTTATGGATGTTCTTCACAGAGCTCAGGTGTTTAACAGTCTTACTGCCTGTGGGATGAAACTGACTGAGGTATTTGAAAGTATGTGAGTCTATGTAAAACATGTGTGGACATGTCGATCATCAAATCCATAATGGTGGTGTCTTTAAACGTGTCGTCGTATCAGTCCAAAACCCAAAGATATTAACTTTGATGTGATATAAAACAGAGCACATGCATTCATTCTATCTGTTCAGACTGTCTGGATGCACCAATCTGACTTTCCTTTGCAACTAATGCTTATGTTTCATTATTTATTAATCGTTTGGTCTATAACAGGGATGTCCAAACTACGGCCCGGGGGCCAAATGCAGAAAGTATAATGGCATGCGGCCCACAAAATGAAACTTGAGCTTGTCTTGTATTGTACTTCTTAAATATATCTGTAAACATGTTACACAGTAGTGTTCATGTGTTAATGAGCCCACTTTCAGTCAATTACAAATATGTTCTAACAAATCTAAGTTGATAAGAGCCCAATAACTTATTGAAATAACGACCCTTCCTATTTCCTCTTATGATGAGCAATCTGAGGCTTCTCTTTTAAGGAATGAGCTGCTAACAAAATGAATGAAACCCTATGGAAAGCTGTCATGTAGGCTGCAGCATCATTTACTGACATTTGATTGGTTTAGCTAACTTATAACTTCACTTATGAGCCAATAAACCTCTAGTGAGCGGCCCAGCCCTTCGAATATTTTTCTGTATGTGGCCCTCGGAGAAAAAAGTGTGGACACCCCTGCTCTATAACACACTGAATATATGACAGACTACCTTGTGTTATATTTTAAATTGGAGGGCTGTGCAGAGACGTGTGCAGAGATGTGCTAAATACATGTTTTAATGAGTGGATTCTCACCTATTTCTTTTTGAGTAACTGGTTCGTGCTTTTTGAAGAAAGACATGTGTGTTCAGTGGCGACTCGTCCTCAGGGGCAGCCCCACCTAGTGTCAGCAGAAAGTCATGAAAATAATAATAATTCCAAAAATATGCAAAAAGAATATATGTTCAAATATATGTTAAGATCATGTTTAATCATCTGATTCGTCTGTGCATTGCTGTTTTAGTCTGCGTTCTTCTACTTAGCGTCTACAGTGTGCCTATTGAGCCGTTTTGAGCGATGTGGGTCAAGCCCCGATCGAGCCCCTCTCTCTCTCTGTCAAAGTGAATGGGTTCTGTAAAAACTACACTGCGCATGCTCAGAGTCTTTTTCTATTCAATGTGTGCGGCAACAAAATAATCACCGGTGGGGCATAGTGCTGGCAACCCCACCAAACGTCATCTCATAATTCAGAGCTGATTGGCTGTAAGTACGTGTGCCGCGAAAAGTGTAGTTGTGAAGAGGGGACGAGAGAGAGCAGCGTATAGCGATTACAATCAGTAACAAGGAAAGAAAATGAATGAAGTTGACCCTCTACTTCAGCTTTGGTAAGTTCGTTTGATGTCATATCTTTTGTTGATCTTCTGTGTTTTGCCTGTAGGCTATTGCTCTGCTGGATCCATTGATATTGTGACCTCGTGATGAGTGTCTGTGTCCCCCCCCCCCTCTCTCTCGATCAGAACCACGGATAGCCTACAGCTATTTGTTTACGTGTTTAAAAAAGCACCAGAAGCTATACACATCTAAGTTGTTCGTGCCCCTCCACTTTTGTACATATAAAAACGCCACTGTGTGTGTTTCAAAATGTCAAAGGCAGACATTTAAAGGGCAGATTTCAGTAACCGTGGGAAACTGACTCCAACACATTGATTGAAACCGATTTAAAAAGTGAGTTACAAAGAAGAGTAATTAGTAAATAGAGCAGGGGTGGCCAAATCTTTTTCACCGAGGGCCACATACAGAAACATATACGAAGGGCTGGGCCCCTCAGTAGAGGTTCATTGCCTCATAAGTTCATTTATAAGTTAGCAAAACCAATCAAATGTAGGTAAGTGATGCTCGTGAGTGTTGGCAGCTCATCCCTTAAAACAGAAGCTTCAGATTGATTAAAATAAGGAGGAATAGGAACGGTGTGTTTCAAGCTTGTTATGGAAATAAGTCATTGGGCTTTTTCTTATCAACTAAGATTTGTTAGAAAATGTTTCCAGCTTTATTAGAAAAGTGGTCTCATTAACACATGAATACTACTGTGTAATATATTTGTACATATATATTTAAGAAGTACAATATAAGACGAGCACAAGTTTCATTTGTGGGCCGTATTCCATTATACTTTCTTTATCTGCTGAGGTTTGGAGACCCCTGATGTAGAGTCATTTCTGGGGTGAAACTGTCCCTGAGACACGTGTGCAGAGATGTGCTAAAAACACATGTTGTAATGAGAGCATCGTCACCTGGAGGGTCTATAACTTGTCCATGCCGAGCTGTTCTGGAGTGGAGATGCCGAGCTCTGACAGCGTGGGCTGCAGCTCCTGGATCAGGTACGGGTAGATCTCTTTGTGGGGGCCGGCTTTGTCCTGAAAGACACAGAGGAAATAACAAATGAAGAGGATGTTGTTATGGAGAACACAGCGTACACTACTTACAGCGATCAGCAATACATATGGATGGAAAAGCTTGAGACTGAAGCCCTCCTTTAGGATTGGTTTAACCCTTGTGCCCTCCTCGAATTTTCAACCTTTCGACCCCTTCGTGGCAAAAATGTACACGCCCATAATAACTGCTACTAAATCATCATACATCAACATTTCTTTCTACTTTTTTTTTCATGAATCACTTAAACAACTTATAACGTACTCAAAACTACCAAACATTCAATAATTTTCTGGATTTTAACCCTTTAAATGCCTGTTTAATTATTTGAATTATTTCATTTTTTCTTACGAAAAAACACAAAACATAATTATTTTTCAATATAATAATTAATAGAGGGATGGAACTTTGGTGGTTATTAGAGTCTGGGATGTGTCAAAGATTAGCAACAAAATTGATTTCACTGCATTATTATTTTGTACGTAGTGTCAGATACTACCTTTGGACACCTTCGTGGCAAAAATGTACACGCCCATAATAACTGCTATTAAATCATCATACATCAATATATTTTTCTACTTTTTTTTTCATGAATCACATATACAACTTCTAACATACTCAAAACTACCATTTTCGGTTTCGATTTTAACCCTTTAAACGCCTGTTTCATTATTTTCATTATTTCATTTATCTAAAAAATGCCTCATTGACTTCCATTCAGACCACATTTGTTGATCTCATTGCCATTGCAGTATAAAACCATGCATTTTGTAATGTCAGCATTTCATTTAGAAGAAAAGTAGTGATATTTGATATTTCTACTCTATTCCCACAGATTCCACCATTTTCCCACTGTAGGCCGATGCATTAAATTCTTACATTTTTGCCAGTTATATTATGGAGCCGTGTGACTACCAGGGGGCCCCGAGAGTGGTGTGTGTGTGTGTGTGTGTGTGTATGTGTGTGTGTGTGTATGTGTGCGTGTGCGTGTGCGTGTGCGTGTGTGTGTGTGTGTGTGTATATGTGCGTGTGTGTGTGTCATTTCCAGCAGCAGACTAGCAGGTCCTGCAGCATGTGACCTGGTGCTCTCAGGTGATAGAACAACAATTTTTTAGGCCTGTGCACAACCAGCACACACCTCTCCTCCCTCTCCGTGTGTATGTGAGAATCTGTAAGCATGCACAGATCATTTCATGGGAGAAAAAAAAGGCCATCTTTTGAGGGATGTGTTTGATGTGTCTTTGAAGAGCTGCTTGATTACTCAAAAACAAAAAACAACTGTTAGTGTGTTTATGCACCTGGCTGCCAAAGATAAACATGCAGTTTGACCAAGGGCTTATTTCATTAGTGAGCAGAGAAGGAGAAAGACCTGGAGCAAAGAGAAGGAACTCAAATGAAGAAGCTTTTCAGTGCAGAAGAGACTTCAGAAATAATCTTGCAGCCTTCTTCTGCCAGCGAGCTGCAGGACTCATCTGAAGAAGACACAAGGTTCGAGCTGGGGTCTGACACTGAATGCTCTCTGGGGTCTGACACTGAATGCTCTCTGGGGTCTGACACTGAATGCTCTCTGGGGTCTGACACTGAATGCTCTCTGGAGTCCAGCATTTCTTTGAGTTCCTCTGACCCTTCATCTGAAAGTGGAGAGGACACTGAGGGTCCGACCCACAGTGAGGGGACAGAGAAGAACGGAGGTCGTTCTCCCAGGAGCTGGGGAAAACCAGGGTGTCCTCACAGATTGTGAGAAGAAAGCCCCCCGTGGTGGTGGATGGTGGGCCGGACCCTCAGTGTCCTCTCCACTTTCAGATGAAGGGTCAGAGGAACTCAAAGAAATGCTGGACTCCAGAGAGCATTCTGTGTCAGACCCCCCCTCGAACCTTGTGTCTTCTTCAGATGAGTCCTGCAGCTCGCTGGCAGAAGAAGGCTGCAAGATTATTTCTGAAGTCTCTTCTGCACTGAAAAGCTTCTTCATTTGAGTTCCTTCTCTTTGCTCCAGGTCTTTCTCCTTCTCTGCTCACTAATGAAATAAGCCCTTGGTCAAACTGCATGTTTATCTTTGGCAGCCAGGTGCATAAACACACTAACAGTTGTTTTTTGTTTTTGAGTAATCAAGCAGCTCTTCAAAGACACATCAAACACATCCCTCAAAAGATGGCCTTTTGTTCCCATGAAATGATCTGTGCATGCTTACAGATTCTCACACACACACACACGGAGAGGGAGGAGAGGTGTGTGCTGGTTGTGCACAGGCCTAAAAAATTGTTGTTCTATCACCTGAGAGCACCAGGTCACATGCTGCAGGACCTGCTAGTCTGCTGCTGGAAATGACACACACACACACACACACACACACACACGCACATACATATACATACATACACACACACACACACCACTCTCGGGGCCCCCTGGTAGTCACACGGCTCCATAATATAACTGGCAAAAATGTAAGAATTTAATGCATCGGCCTACACGGAAACTTGTGTAATCTGTTGGAATAGAGTAGAAATATCAAATATCACTACTTTTCTTCTAAATGAAATGCTGACATTACAAAATGCATGGTTTTATACTGCAATGGCAGTGAGATCAACAAATGTGGTCTGAATGGAAGTCAATGAGGCATTTTTGAGAGAAATGAAATAATTAAAATAATGAAACAGGCATTTAAAGGGTTAAAATCCTGCCAATGATTGAATGTTTGGTAGTTTGGAGTATGTTAGAAGTTGTATATGTGATTCATGAAAAAAAAGTAGAAAAAGATATTGATGTATGATGATTTAATAGCAGTTGTTTTGGGCGTGTACATTTTTGCCACAAAGGTGTCCAGAGGTAGTATCTGACACTACATAAAAATTAATAATGCAGTCAAATCAATTTTGTTGCTAATCTTTGACACATCCAAGACTCTAATAACCACCAAAGTTTCATCCCTCTACTAATTATTATTATATTGAAAGAAATTCATTTTTTGTCTTTTTTTTTTAAAGAGAAATGAAATAATTAAAATAATGAAACAGGCATTTAAAGGGTTAAAATCCTGACAATGATTGAATGTTTGGTAGTTTGGAGTACGTGAGAAGTTGTTTATGTGATTCATGAAAAAAAAGTAGAAAAAGATATTGATGTATGATGATTTAATAGAAGTTGTTTTGGGCGTGTACATTTTTGCCACGAAGGTGTCCAGAGGTAGTATCTGACACTACGTAAAAATTAATAATGCAGTGAAATCAATTTTGTTGCTAATCTTTGACACATCCCAGACTCTAATAACCACCAAAGTTTCATCCCTCTACTAATTATTATGTTGAAAGAAATTCATTTTTTGTCTTTTTTTTTTAAAGAGAAATTAAATAATTCAAATAATGAAACAGGCATTTAAAGGGTTAAAATCCTGAAAATTATTGGATGTTTGGTAGTTTTGAGCACGTTAGAAGTTGTTCAAGTGATTCATGGAAAAAAAAGTTTAATAAAATATTGATGTATGATGATTTAATAGCAGTTTCTATGAGCGTGTACATTTTTGCCACGAAGGGGTCCAGAGGGTGCAAAATGCATCACGAGAGTATACAAAACATGTAAGAGTAAACGACATTGGATTTCAAAAATTTGACTCAAAAGAAGACTTCTTGCAAAAATCCATGCCAAAAGCTGTAACACAGCTGATATGAACACCAAATCAAAGAAAAAAAGTCAGGAAAAATGTACAAAAATGCCCGAGGAGGGCACAAGGGTTAAGTACACATTCTAGTTACTTCTACAGTAATGTGAGGAAACAAGAAAGACTGATTTCTGCTAAACGGCCGGGAAAACCACCCGACTCCATATCTGAGCAGGGTGTGTGTGGGTGTGTGTGGGTGTGTGTGTGTGTGTGTGTGTGTGTGTGTGTGTGTGTGTGTGTGACTGGTTTCATGCACAGTGGTGATATGTTATGATGCAGTACTGCACTTCTAATCAACACAGTGTTTTTTTAATTGACTCAACATTGATAACACTTTCCCCTAAATTGCTCCTGAGGGGATTGTACTCCACAGTATTGAGTGTATGTAAGTCGCTTTGGATAACAGTAAAAATTCATAAAAACAACACACTTTAAATATATAAAAGTCTAACAAGTGACATCTAATGTACTTTTTAAATATAATTAGTTATACTTTTACTTCAGTAAAGGATCTAAATACTTTTTTATATATGTATAATGTGGTGTTGCGACTGTCAGACAAAAACAATCTTAAAATAATGAACCAGTTTTACACCGTGCAGAAACCGTGTGCTGACAAAGGGATGGATTGCACAGAAGTCACAAAGATGCAAATAGAGAAATGAAGCCCATCTTTGAACATATTAGCATGAACAGGAAACACACTCATAGTCACTTGGCCAGTTCGACTGCATCGTGAGGGAAATATGTGAAAGCATCTGAAGGAGAACTCACCTCGGCTGAAGAGTATCCCGAAGAGTACTGCTCAAAATCTATCTCCTCGTCACTGTGAAGACAAGCAGGAAGTTCTTTAAATCCGTCTTCAAACACACTGATGTACTTCAAATTATTCCAATATAATAATAATAATAATAATAATCCTTATATTTATTAAAGCGCTTTATCAATGACTCAAAGCGCTTTACAAATACACATTACACATACAGATCATACATGTAATGGTCTACTGTGGACAATACCCACAGGAGCAAGTTCAGGTGAAGTGTCTTGCCCAAGGACACAATATGACATTGTTTTTTAAATGGAGGATTTTCTGATAAAATGCAGGTTTTTAGGAGCTTTTTGTTTTGGTTTATTATGTTTTAATCTCAAAAACACAGAGAACTCAATCAAACAGTGTTCCTACATCAAAACTCTCCCAAAAGGAAGTCACACTGCCTCAAATGTAAACAAAAAAAAGCACCTTACAGTCTTAATAACTCAAGGATTATATATATATTAAATACAAAATCAAATACGGGAGTGCGTCAAAAGAATTAGGAATGTATGGAAAGACTCTCTTAATGTATCAAAGTGTTGTCTGATTAAAGTGGATTTAAATCCCTCTTTTCTCCAATAAAGAACTAAACAAACACTACATCTCTCAAACATGTGGAATAAAATGTGAGTTAAGGTGATTTCTAATCCCTTAGGGTTCCTCTATCAGCCCAAAAAGACCAAGAAAGTCTTTATGTTTGTTTAGAAAAACATTTAAGGAGTATCCTTTGAGTGCAAAATGCAATTTGGAGTCGCCTGTTTACAGCCAGCTCTTTGCATGGTACAACAAAACCAAATGAAAGCTCAGCGCAAGTTCAATCAGGAAGACCAAGCTCTTCATTCATATTACATGTCATTTCAATCCTCTCTCCTCCCTCATTAAGTGATCGGGTGTCACTCCCCAGCTAACCAATCTCTCCTCTCTCCATTCTCACAAGCCTATCATAGCTCCCGCTAATCCCTTTATATCTGCTCTTCCCTCTGTCAGCTGTCATTTCAGGTGACAATACGCAACCCTCCTCCACCCATTTCGCCTCCCGTCTCCTTCAGGACCAAGCTAAGGCTGCTTTTACACGGGAACGTTTGCGTTTATGCACAGTATGCGTTTTCAAAAAAGTCTTCCGTTCACATGCATTCGTTTCATTTAACGTGTCTGTTCAAACGAGACCGCTGGACACGCTGTAGTACATATGCTGGGACTGTAAGTGGCACTGTAACTTCCGCCACAAAATACACCAAAAGCAGCGAAGAAGACCCCGGAGCAATGTTGCCATGGCTACCCTTCTGTTTATGCCCCGCGGTGGATTTAGCAACATGTAGTGGTTCATGTAATTCTCCATGTCCACTTGTTGCTGATGGTTGTGGTAGAGGAGCTGTAGATGTTGCACTAACATCTGTAGCATGGTCATTAGCAGTAGCACTAGCAGTAGCTACTGGCCATGCTACAGCAGTGAGCAGCAGAGGCGGGGCTATCGTTATTTTTTCTACTTCTTACATGTTGAACCCAAATACCTGTACTTTCTACTTCTTACATTTTGAACACAAATACCTGTACTTTCTACTTCTTACATGTTGAACACAAATACCTGTACTTTCTACTTCTTACATTTTGAACACAAATACCTGTACTTTCTACTTCTTACATGTTGAACACAAATACCTGTACTTTCTACTTCTTACATTTTGAACACAAATACCTGTACTTTCTACTTCTTACATGTTGAACACTAATACCTGTACTTTCTACTTCTTACATGTTGAACACAAATACCTGTACTTTCTACTTCTTACATTTTGAACACAAATACCTGTACTTTCTACTTCTTACATGTTGAACACTAATACCTGTACTTTCTACTTCTTACATGTTGAACACAAATACCTGTACTTTCTACTTCTTACATTTTGAACACAAATACCTGTACTTTCTACTTCTTACATTTTGAACACAAATACCTGAACTTTCTACTTCTTACATGTTGAACACAAATACCTGTACTTTCTACTTCTTACATGTTGAACACAAATACCTGTACTTTCTACTTCTTACATGTTGAACACTAATACCTGTACTTTCTACTTCTTACATGTTGAACACAAATACCTGTACTTTCTACTTCTTACATGTTGAACACTAATACCTGTACTTTCTACTTCTTACATGTTGAACCCAAATACCTGTACTTTCTACTTCTTACATGTTGAACACAAATACCTGTACTTTCTACTTCTTACATGTTGAACACAAATACCTGTACTTTCTACTTCTTACATGTTGAACACAAATACCTGTACTTTCTACTTCTTACATGTTGAACACAAATACCTGTACTTTCTACTTCTTACATGTTGAACACAAATACCTGTACTTTCTACTTCTTACATGTTGAACACAAATACCTGTACTTTCTACTTCTTACATGTTGAACACAAATACCTGTACTTTCTACTTCTTACATGTTGAACACTAATACCTGTACTTTCTACTTCTTACATGTTGAACCCAAATACCTGTACTTTCTACTTCTTACATGTTGAACACAAATACCTGTACTTTCTACTTCTTACATGTTGAACACAAATACCTGTACTTTCTACTTCTTACATGTTGAACCCAAATACCTGTACTTTCTACTTCTTACATGTTGAACACAAATACCTGTACTTTCTACTTCTCACATGTTGAACCCAAATACCTGTACTTTCTACTTCTTACATGTTGAACACTGTACTTTCTACTTCTTACATGTTGAACACAAATACCTGTACTTTCTACTTCTCACATTTCCCAAACAGGCTGGTTCCTTTAGTTTGAATGTGTGTTTGGTGGCGTGATCATTATTATTTAGAGTCATTGCGTGCCTATTGATTTGAACACGATCCGTGTATCCATCATTTCCTGGTCTTCTCTAAAGAAGAGGGACCAATGAAAACGTTGTCATGTTGCCGTTGTTCAGCATGGAAACATTCATTAGCTAACAATGACATTATTGTTCTATTAATATAAAGGGAGGTCAGGTACTCTTTAAAACAGCTGCTAGTTATGGGTACTTTTTACTGAAGTACATTTCAAAGCCCTCTTTACTTTGACTTGAGTAAAGAAGTTTAGTCAGTACTTCTACTTTCACCAGAGTGTTTTTAAACACGAGTATCTGTACTTCTACTTGAGTAAAGGATGTGTACTTTGCCCTCTCTGGGTTCAGGTGACTGCCTTCAGTAGGAATTGAACCCTGTGAACCTCACCTGTCTGAGTCCAGAGCCACTAAACTGTCCTCAGCATGTTGACTCAGAGCAGCGTAGCCCTTGTTATACTTCACCGTCCTGGAAGAAGAAACCAGAAAATGTTTTAAAAATCGTGCAAAACAAACATCGTTAACCCTCTGAGACCCACGGTCCCAAATATCACGTCATCTTCAAAGCATAACTCATGAACAGAAGAAGTTAGAAGCTTCTAATCACTTCTGGCACAATCCCAACAACTGTGTGCAATTTTCTGTGTTGGATGTTTTTTTTCAATATTATGGTTCGAAGTTCTGTTTAAGTTACAAATTCAAGCTCCGTTTTTAGTCGTTTTTTTGTTTTATGGGCAAATATCCCCCATTATAGTGTATAGAAGTCTTTAATGAGTAACATATAACATTACCTGAGGTTGTGCTGATTTCTGCGATGTGTAAAACTTGATTATCATTGTAGCCATGCCTCATACTGCTCATACCCCTCTATTACAGCCCTGTTCCAAACAGACTGATTCTGCTTTAAAGTGGACCTATCATGCTATATTTGATACATATATTGTAGGGCCATACCTATATAAAACATGTCTGTGAAGTTTTTTTTCAAAATACCAAACAGATCATGCATTTTAGCCATGCCTCATTTCGCTCTATTTGCTCTTTTTCAGCCCTGTTTTTGCAAGGGCTGATTCTGTGGCAAATGAGCTGCAGCTGACCACGCCCCCCTGCAGAAGAGGGGGGCGTGGCACGGCCCCGGCACGAGCGTCATGTTACCATGCTTGCTGTGAATACGAGAGGACGATAACGGTCGTATCCGCTACAGTTCTCTATCAGATAGACGGTTCGGCCACACGAGGCCGACACGGAAACGCAGAAAACGATAACGATAACGATAACGGGTCCCTAGGTGGGTAGATCTGCAAACGAAACGCTCTGGGGGGGCAAACGGCTCTGTGTCTACGCCTATACGATCATGTCCTGATAACGAAGAAATAGCCCCGCCTCTCCCCGCCTCTCCTGCTCAGATATCAGCTGCTGGGCTCTCAGAAGAGGGGGAGGAAAAGAGACGCTCCGTTTTGTATTCTTATATTATTATATAGAGTCGTTATCAATTTGTTTTAAAGCTCAATAAATAACAAAGAAGACCTCTGACCGGCACTTTTCTAATTTTGTCCGGAAGATTTAAACTTTAACGGACATGTTGACCGGCGAAAAATCTAACTGAAACTCTGCTGCACGGTCCTCTCGTCCCTTGGAAGAGGCGGAGAGGTGGGTGTTTGTCATCTGCTGGTGGACTACCGGAGAGAATTACAGCCGGAGCAAACGCTTGCCTCGGGGAGGGAGAAAAAGAGCCAGAGCGTCCACAGCGGAGAATAAACAGAAGGGCAACCATGCGCGGGAAGTCTACTTCGCTGCTTTTGTCGCAGACTACAGCGCCACTTACAGGCCCGGCATATGTACTACAGCGTTTTGTTTTTTGACACTTGGTGAGTTCCCTGACACACCGGGGACACATATTTATGTAAAAAAGACATAAAAAAGTGCATTTTGCATAATAGGTCCCCTTTAACTTCTGTACGTACCACTTCGAAAAGCATTTGGATTGAAGTGATGCTAATGCAGTAGCTTTTAATCTGGTTAGGGTTATAGACAGGAAGTGTATCTGCAGGACTCTTGCTTTTTGAGTTGGTCTCTTCACGGTTGAATGCACTTATTGTCAGTTGCTTTGGATAAAAGTGTCAGCTAAATGAAATGTAATGTAATCTTCAAACGTCTCCTCACCTCTTGGCTCCTTGTCGGGGCTGATGCACCACAGGGGGTCCTGGAGAAAGAGCTTTCTTCTTCAGGGCTTTCCTCGCCATCTCCCTGTGTTTCTCTGTGGAAAATAAACAGACGTGTGTTTTTAGTCTAGTTTGGAGTCCTGTTGTGAACCCAGAAATGTTGAGTACCCCATTTTTTAAGATAGAAATGTAAAGTACGGGTTTCCAGCACATAGAAAACAATTTAGGAGTGTTTTGGGGGGTTATTGAGGATGTTGAATCCAATTCTGACATTTTCAGGATCATAAGTGGCACTTTTAACCTGAAAGAGGCCATATTTGTAGTCCTTAAGGCAGGGGTGGGGAACCTTTTTCCTCTCAAGGGCCATTTCAATTTTTTCAACATCCTCCGAGGGCCGTACAAATTATTGACCTCTGCTTAAAAATACAAAAATCACAGCCCATTCATTTGGCCTTTCTTTCATGCTGTGCAAAGAAAAAGCAACCTCTTAATCCAGATATCTTACCATGACTCGCGCATGCATTCACGTGCACGGTGTGGCATGACCACCAAAACAGAAAGATATGGACACAAGATGTGTGCAAATGTATTTAGTTTCCTATCCATGTAAACATGATTTAAGTGGGGGGTGGACCTAACCTGCTCTAGGGGGGTCCGGGGTGCATGCTCCCCCAGGAAGATTTGTTTTTAAATGTTGAAGTTAAAAGCATCAATCTGGTGCACTTTGAGAGCAACATTAGGAGATCTATGGATACATATCTCAACACCCATATGAAACAGAACTGTAAACAGATTTTATTTCTCTTTATGGATATTTACAAATCACTCCCCTTTCAAACTGTATTCTTGTTTATTAATAACAACTTTATTTTACTGTCATATAGTATTTTATACCTGTTTACTTCATTCTCTTATTTTTTTATAACTATAATGATCATATAAAGATGTGCCTTTACCTCACTGGTTGTAGAAAAAGCTTCTTATATTCGTTAGCATAGCTAGCTAACCAGATGCTAATAACAACAAAGTTATTGACTGTATGATCAGTATGACAGATGAACAGATCGCCACTGGGCTTTCAACTAAAGAAAGCTCTCCTCGTGTCTCTCCGAGTCCTGTTTCCAATTGCTTCAGAAGTTTCCCCCACAATAACAACCATTATAATCTGACCAACACACAGGCGTTATATAATAGTTAATAGAGTTACTCACGTAGTTTGAGGTGTATTGCTGGAGCTCTCGACATGATGTAAGGTCCTCTTTTCTCCACTGGCCGGATGCCTCCGTCAGCTGTTTTAGGTCTGGTGCCATTACTGGGTCCCTGAGGACGGAGGAATTGAGAACAATCTGTACATTAATATATGTTTGGCAGCTAAATAATCATAATAATAAAGCATTATTTATATAGCACTTTTCATACAACACGTGCAGCTCAAAGTGCTTTTTACAAAATGAATCTGAAGCCAGTCCCCAACTCCGGGGACTTCCGTCCGGGGACTCCGGGTGGCAATATACGCCGTGAAGTTGTTTGCGGCCTGCCAGTAAACCCAAATCAGAAGTAGAAGAAGTGACGTCAGCGGCTTCATTTGCCTAATCCTTCCCCAGGAACTTATTCCGGTGTGAACGCGATCTGTACTTAGTTCATGAGAACTAAAGAGAACTAAGTTCTCATGAACCTTTGTGGGAAAAGTACTGCGGTGTGAATGCGCCTACAGTATACAAGTACTTTTAGTACTTAATTTGGAGGCAATACTTTTTTAATTCAGGACTTTTACTTATAACATAGCATGTTTTCTATTAAGCTACTTTTACTTAAGTTAGAAATCCAATTAGTTCTTCCACTTCTACATAAGTTACTCCATAACTGTCTCTAAAAAAAGTGAAAACTCCTCCAGATGTCCCCAGCAGTTCTGTTTATGGAATAAGAAACGATAACACTGTAGGTGTTTATGGGCCAACTATATAATGTCACTTAATGTCAATCAAACTCAATCTTAGCATTGTTTTACGAAAAAGAGAAACACTTCATTTTGTAAACACGACTAATATAAACAACTGTCAAAATCCCAGGCTAAGCTAATCAGCTAGCAGCTAGCCTATGGATGTATAAAGAGACAGAGGCGTTCATTCCTATGAGAGTTGCTCAGTGGCGCTTGAAGCCAAAAATAGAGCGAGTGTAGGTTCAGAAAGTACCCGGATATAAGCCCAAGGCGCATGCGCAGTCTGAGTTTTATTATAAACTTTAGCTTTTGTGTCGTTGTTCCACATAACTTGCCAGGATTTAATTATTCATCGTGCTTTATTAATTATTATACTTCAGTTTGCTGCTGTAATATAGCTGTTTTTATACCAGTGACATCCTTGAAGTTGTAGTACTGCCATTTGGCCACTACGCCCATTCATAAAAACCGTCTTCAACTAGCCTCCCAGTTTCTATGTACAAGTTAGCGTTAGCTATCTTTAGCAGACATTACCGGGAAGACTTGCGGCTCCAGCAGGGTGTCCTTCTCCGGTTCCTCTATGATGTCGTTCATCATCTTGTCGGTAGTTGTCACAATTTATTCCACAAAACAGCCATGGTGGGACTTTGTTGCTCTTCTCCTCGGGAGCAGGGAGGCACTTCTGTCAGCTAATGCATGAGTGAAAAGGTTCCATACTACTTCCGGGAGAAGTTTTTCAAAATAAAACATGAGAATAACTGACGTAGCAGGGAATTGTAAGGAGGATTATTTCAACCAATCAGAGGTGGAATAAGTACTCAGATCTTGTACTTGAGTCAAAGTAGAAGTACCACAGTGTATGAATACTCTGTTAGAAGTAAAAGTCCTGCATTCATACTTTTACTCCACTACAAGTTACAAGTAAATGGTGTACTTTTACTCCACTACATGTATTTAATACCTTTAGTGACTTTACAGATGTGGATGAATGATGTGAAATATAATCAAGTGTTAAATCAGACTTTAGTTCCACCTGGAGTAAATTCACAAGCTACCCTGCAGTATACAAAGTCATTCAAACTAGCTGCACCTTTACCAGCTTTGAGAACACTTTAATGATCAATCATTATAAAACATATCATATATATTATTCTGAAATGGACCAATCTGCACAATCACTACTTTTACTGTCGCTACTTTAACTATATTTTGATGATAATACTTTTCTACTTTTACTTGAGGAACATTTTGAATGCAGGACTTTTACTGTAACAGAATATTCCTATACTCTGGTACTTCTCCTTTTACTCAAGTAAAATATCTGAGTACTTCTCCTTTTACTCAAGTACAAGATCTGAGTACTTCTACTTTTACTCAAGAACAAGATCTGAGTACTTCTACTTTTACTCGAGAACAAGATCTGAGTACTTCTACTTTTACTGAAGTACAAGATCTGAGTACGTCTACTTTTACTCAAGTACAAGATCTGAGTACTTCTACTTTTACTCAAGTACAATATCTGAGTACTTCTCCTTTTAATCAAGATCTGTGTACTTCACCTCTGCTGATAAACAGAGGGAGGAGCTGCAGACAGGGAAGTGGAAGTGATGAAGCCAGACTCCATTTTACACTTCGACAGAGCACGAGCAACAGGGTGAGTGTTGATTAAAACCAGGCTCTGCTGGGTTTTTAATACATTATTATTACTCTGTTATACTGTAGGCATATGTCACAAAAAACATTTTTTACAGACTTGATCAAAAATCAGCAACGTAGAGTCAAGTGTGACTTTTTCAAATGTATTTCACTTTTTCATTTCCTGCCTGGACCGACAATATATTCACGGACCAGCCTTCAAAGTATGGGGGGATAAAGGACTGTAGTGCTGATGCTCCGGCACCGTTTTTGCGTGCTCAAATCAACTGTTGTGAACGTCCTTTGTTGAAAGTAGTTTAACTTTGGAGCAGCAACGCGCATCACTTGTGAAGTGACGACAAACAGAATCACAGAACGGCCGGCAGGCACCGCCCTTCCTTGTTTACGTTTTGAAACGACATCATTGAAGTTGCGCTGACAGGCGACAGAGGTCCACCGTTTCCTCGCAGCGAGGCTCCCCCCGTTTTGCAAAGATAGCAGCAGAAATGTCATTGCTACATGTGCAGGGATATTTAGACTTTAAAATGCTGCTTGGTCATTAATTTTGGTCTCGGCAAACAATATTATGAAAGGTATGGGATTAGTTTCGTGTCATTAAGATAAAGCAACACTTCCTCAGAATCAAGCAAAACTAAGAGTTTAAGAGAAAAAACCAGAGTCAAGCTAAATAAATGTAATTTAAAAAATAAAACTATAAGTTGCAAACAAATCATTTGTGTAATCATGTAAACTACAAGTCTTTTTTTCTTTGTTTTAACATATCTTTTTGTTTGCAGTTCTCTTTGCTTCTTTCTCAATGATCAGACTTTTGCTCTCGCTGCAGCTATTCTCCTTTGCACTCCATTTTTTGTTTGCGATTCTGACACAAACGTCCCAGGTGGGCGGGACTTTCAGGGGTGCGTCCCCATTGGCTACTCAGTTTTTGAGTGACAGCCCACTACACCACAGATCATACAGTGCAACTCATGCAGCAAACTCCGGAGTCCACTCGGCCACGTTTGTGTTGGTGCCTCCTGGGGAGTTTTCATGAAAATATCAGACTTATCTTATGGATTGCTGTGCATTATACTTGTGTTGTGTAGTTTATACTTTATTCCAACTTTAAATATTTTAATACCTGAACACACTGCTGCTGTAACAAAATAGTTTCCCAATTTGGGATTGATAAAGTGTCCGTCTATCTATTTATTTTATGCTAAAGGTGATACACAATATAAACTGTATACTGTTCTTTTTTCAAAGACATGTTACATTTCAAAAGCATACATTGCTATGTTTAGGACAAACAATTAAAGACTGCTTTAATAATAATAAAACAAATTCTACAATATAAAAGTGGCAGATTTGCTTTATTAAACAGACCAGACCTAGGTTGCATACCAACACAATTAGGAACATGCTCACATCTTACTATGTTGGTCTGAAGAGCTGAAGCATTCATACACAATGGATAAAAACTGTGTTGTCTCATTCTATATCCTGTGAGAAAATGATATACATTTAGCATTAAAAACTCAACATACTATTCCTATCCTGAGGAAGATATGAATAATCAACAGATTTGAATGGAATCTCTAACATTTTCATGTAGAATAAAGACAAAAGAGTGATTATACACATTACATTTATTGAAATTTGAACCAGAAGATGAAGTCTCAAAGAATGTTTTAAATAAAAGGACATAAAACAAAAAGGTAGATAATAATAAAATCTATTAAATGTATATGTAAAGACATTTGGTCAAATGAAATGACACTGAGCAAGCGATAACAGCAACGCCCAGCGTGGATGAAGATGGTTCAGGTCTTTCTTCATGGCCCCCCCCCCCCCCCCCTTCGTGCTGTCCCCTCACAGGAAGTGGGAAATGGGAGAAGACCTCTGGACACCACGCTGTCTCAATGATCCACACTGTTAATATGAGAGGAACATAATTGTTTTAGGAAATGAAAAATATGAAGTGAACTATCAACAGGTTTCCATATAGAAAAAAACAACTTAATTGTGCCATTAATTCAACATTTTTTTTTAAATAGAATTGGAAATGAATAGGAAGAGAGCTCAAATCTGATACTCAGAACGAGTAGCCCATGTATAGCATTTTGCAATGCATAGAAGAGAAGCCAAAGCTCAACATTTGTATGACAAATAAAACTCAGCTCAGGGGCATCATGGACGGTAGGTTTTCCTACAGAGAGAAGAAGTAAACTCAGCCTCCATTGATTTTCATATCAATTGAGCGTGTTAATAAAATAAGCTATCATGGCTTATACTTGCATGTCTAAACAGAATCATGAAAGCATGTTGGTAGAGTCAGGCACACGAGTCTGTTTGTGTGTGTGTGTGCCGGTGTCTGAGCGCTCACGCACTGGTAGCTAAGTAGCTAACCCTGCTGTTAGGCTACTTAGCTAGCATTGTTATGGATCTCAAGTTAGCAAAAGCTAACTTTCATAGCACAGCTCTTCTTTACTTCTCACTTAACACAATAAAGAAACAGACCGTATAGTACAGCACAAACAACACAAATGATCAATACTTACATATATTTTCACTTGTAGTATTATAATAATTGAGATGCTGGTTCTTCTGGGGGTCTTCTGTCCATGCTCAGCTACCGCAGTTGCACTGTACAATCGCCGGTGGACTGGGCTGTCACTCAAAAACTGAGTAGCCAATGGGGACGCACCCCTGAAAGTCCCGCCCCCCTCGGATGTTTGTGTCAGAAGGGATGTCCCGATCACCTTTTTTTGCTCCCGATCCGATTCCGATCATTTGATTTTGACAATCTGCCGATACCGATTTTTCCCGATCCGATCTTTATGCAATGCATTAAGAGGAAAAAAAAGGTAACAGATAACGGCTGGTCATCCAACGCGATGAATTCAGCTATCTTGGCTGTTATTTTTTTGGCCTTTTCACTGTTCTGGGGTAGTTTCTCTTTCCTTTTAAAAGTCTCTGAAAGTGTCGGTTGTTTCAGTGCCGTTACCTGAGTGGCCGCTGTGTACTCGTCGTGTTGTTGTTGGTGGTGTTTGTATTAGATTGGTCATGTTGAACGTAGCTCTGTTCTTTCCACCACGCGGAACCTCCGCCTTGCAAACATTGCATCTGGCTGTTACACTGCCTTCGCTTTCAATTTTATAATACTTCCAAACTCCTGACATTTTCTCTGTCCCGACTCCCGAGTCACCAGCTGAACGTGAAAATCACGTGATCGGCTCCGATCCCCGATCACGTGATCGGATCGGGACATCCCTAGTCAGAATCGAAAACAAAAAATGAAGGAGCGCAAACTAGTGATGGGAATTATGTCTCTTTGAAGAGATCCGAATCTTATGGCTCCGTTCCTTTCAAAGAGCCGTTCAAAAGAGCCGTTTTTTTAAAGGGGGCGGGGTTACTAAGTTTATAATAATCACCAGGATAATGATTGACTGTATTGCCAGACCTAATGTCAATAATCTGCATTGTAAACATGACACAGGGTGGCGCCATATCCATGTCATTCATGTCAGTGAATGTACTACTTTGAATTTACCCTATGTATGTGTTAAGTAAATACATTTGCCTTGCCTTGCATGAAATTCACGCAACTCTTAATATTAGAACACTCTGCTTTATCACTGCCTGGGTTTTGGTTGAAGTGCATCCAAATGCTGCTGCGTTTTCGCGTTTGGCTCATTTTCCATCCGAAAAACACGTCGTCTACCTGTCCTTTAGGCCAGGGCCGGCCCTAGACTTTTGGGGGCCCTAAGCGAGCTTTGGCTTGGGGCCCCCCCTCACTCTAGTGCTCCTGTCTTATGATGTTAGCATAAGCACACATATTGTATAAATAAGCATGTAAACATCCTCTAGGGGATCCTCACCTCCTCTAGGGGGGTCCGGGGGCATGCTCCCCCGGGAAGATTTGTTTTTAAATATTGAAGTTAAAAGCATCAATCTGGTGCACTTTGAGAGCAAAATTAGGAGATCTATGGATACATCTCTCAACACCCATATGAAACAGAACTGTAAACAGATTTTTCTTTATGGATATTTTACAAATCACTCCCCTTTTAAACTGTATTCTTGTTTTGTCATATAGTATTTCATAACTGTTTTTCATTTATTCTCTCTGGCTGTCCATCTCATAATGTTCACATAAAAACTAACTGTCAATAGGAATATCATTCAGAAGAATTATAATTTCATGCAAGAATCTGTCACAAAAAGAGGTTGCACATTTACATTCAGGTGTTGTTATGGCAACGTCAGTGGCCAAACAGCCACATTTACTGCTGCAAATACGTTCAAACATGCTGTCGACACGTAAAGCAGTGGCAACTATGCCACCATTTCAGCTGACTTTTTCTCAGAAATACTGTCACATAACATCCATATATTTCAGTGCTAGGTTGATGCTTAGCTAAGCTAACTATGAAACACTTTAACTGACAGGACTCAGGATCAACTGTGTACTGTAAGGTAGCTTCTAGCTTCATGTCGAACAGTAAGTCAACATTTCCCAGAGAGCTTTCTTTGAAATCACCAGGTAATGCTAATAAACATTACATTTAGATTGAATGACAAAGTGTTTATTTAATATATCTGGCTAGCTATAGCTACTTGCTAACGGTTTAGCTTACCCCCGCAATTCAAAGTAACATCAACGTAGCTGTAATTTCTCCTGGCTCAAGTGCTGGCTCTGGGGTTGTTGTGTGAGCCACCACTTGAGAATTGTCGTCTTTTTTAAGAAAAATTGTTCTTATGTCCATCTTCAAAAACTCTGAGTCTAAGACTGACAGTTTATTTTAAACATTGTCACAGCTCACAGGATAGGTACCTGTCAGCCAATAAGACAGATGTTTATTTCCATTCAACTCTCTGGTTGGTCTGGTGTCTTGCGTCTGTTGCATTCACTGAACACGGGAAATTACAATCCTGCCGTTCTCTCATGATGAGGTTCAGGTAAAGCACGGTTAATGTATTATATGATTGGCTCAATAATATAATACATGACTTTGAGAG